TGCGTTTGCATTTCTGTCTATTAGTGTTTGTTTCCTTGATTTCAACGTCCACGGCTGCCGTACATTTCAAGCATTGGTACGGGCAATTCCGGGATGTGTTTGAGCAAATCATGGAGAATGATTGCCAAACGGAGTATCAAACTTACCTGCACAAGGTCGCTCCGAAAGATTATTTGAGCGAATACGTTACGCCGGTCATCGACTGTATATTGGAAAACCTGAATGAAACCCGCAAGTCCAATATGGCGGCCGCTGCAGTCTTGTTAGGCCTGTTGCCGACAACTCTAGGCCTTGTTGGCTCCACCACGGTAGAGGTTGGCCTTGTCGCTCTGCGGCGGCCTTTCCTCGCCTTCCTGCTCGCGGCCGGGGCCCCAGCCGTCTCGCCAATCCGCACTTTCGATTACATTGATACGAAAGAACTGCTGGAGAGGAAGCCGCAAACTGTCAGAATAAAGCCAATGGGCCTACTCAAGGGCTTTGGGGTCTCGCTTTTCCAGTATGTCATGGCAGCCGCGGCGGTCGTGAACGTGGCTTTCGTGAGCTACGAGATCTGCATCCAAACAATCTGTTCTTTCGCCCCGGAGACTGCATATCTGCCGGCATTGTGGGCATTTTTGGCCGTTGCAGTGCACTTCTTCGGCACTTGGTCAGTCCACTGTCGTACCCGAATCCGTACTAAGCTTGGTGCGAAGAAGCCACCGGGGCTCTGGGAGACAATATGTGCAGAATTCACACCATCCGCCTCAAGGAAAGGAGCAGATCTGGAGATCAAGGAAGAGACATATCTCTACATTTTCCTCTCCTGGTTTACGGCCACCGGAACCGTCCTACACATTGTGTACGGAACGCTCGTCTTTTCCAGTCTCATATTCATCTCCACCAGCGACGCTACAGCTGTAGTGGCGAGGTATCTGTCCTCAACCCTAGTCTGCCGGGCGATAGTGATGTACGAATTAAGTGGGCTGAGAGAAGTGCTAAGCCACCAAAGCAAAGGCTCTCATGGTGGACCTGAGCTTATACCGATGGAACCAGGGCCCGGGATCATTTCGTTTGGTGATCTCAGCGCTCCTTGGAAACGGCCGGCATCGAGCCGAACGGAAGAGTGGCAGTTATTGTCCGGCGTGGAGAGGTCAGGAGAAGCGTGAGTGTCGAGGTAGCACTACACGGCCTTGTAACACCGTACGGTAAGAGATGGAGCTTCAGATGAAGTCATGACACGAGGGGGTGAGCCTCGAGACGCACACATTGAAGGCGAAATGTGCGTATAGATCGGCGCAAGAGGACCAAATGGCAACAGACTGCCGTGGAATGGTTGGAGCTTTCTTTAGATCATTCAGAACCCTTCCTTGACCACCAATTCTCTCCTCGAAGCCTCTTTTTGACTGTTTCTTTCTTTCTTCCGTACCCTCGCCTATCCAAAGCAAGACAAGAAAGATGGACGCTCACAATCGTTGATCATACGGTCTCCTCCCTTCTTGTTTGGATCTTCCTCCACCGAGCGTCTCTTTGCAAAAAATATACTCGTATATTCAATCATCTTGTCAATCACATTATATATCCCTTACCCAGAACGTTTCGTGTGTGAATTCGATCCCAGTGCACAGTTCACAGCTGGAGAAGAGAAGACAGCTGTCAGATCCTGGACCACCTGGGGTTCTATGTGGATATGTCACTTCATGGAACCCTCATACAATCGTAAACTCATAACGCCTGTCAGGGCCCAAATCACCCGTGTCAAGCCACGAAGGGGGGCACGAGACCAGGAACTCTTCGCCAAAGGAATCGGCTGTGAACGTCCCGTACCGCCTGAACTGCGCCTGACGCCCGGATGGGACGAGCAAGAGACCTCTGTACCTGGGGACCAGGTTCCGCGTGCCGCGCAGGATCGGCAGACAGTAGACGACGTGAGGTAGTTGGATGGCCGGGCTGAATCCGTCGTCCGGCCGGCATATCGCAGAGGACACTGTGCGGTCGCCGATCTTCAAGGCGAGACCGGGAGTTGGAGACCCAGGCTGGTGGATTCGGGAGAGGGTGCCGCGCGCCAGCACGCCAGACAGCCGGATATAGCCACCGCGAACTTGGCCCATGTGGTCGTTACCCAGGGGAACCACCATCGCGCCCGTGACGTCCACCAGCGTGGCAGCCCAAGCCCAAGTCTCAGTTTCGCAGGGGACCGTCGCCAGACGAGAGGCCCATGACCAGGTGGGCGCGATGTATTCGTGGCCGGCGTCGGGCTTTTGAGCAGGGTTCTTGACGTCCCAAAGTAGTTCGAAGGGGAGGTCTTGTTTCCACAAGCCAGCAAGGTAGGTGTCGTGCGGGATCAGCCGGCGCTGCAGTTTGCGAGCAATTCCAGAGAGCGCGACCAGTCGGTCTGTCCGCCTGCTCAATTCCCCGGACGAGTATGTTTCCATGACCTGGTCCCAGATTCCGTAAGGGCCGCGGCTGTTAGGCCCTTGCTGCTCGATCTTGGGTAGTCCCGAGAATGGCAGTAGTTGTTTGAACTGCTCTCCGAGTCCATCAGGGAACCCCACAGGGAATGCTTCAGACGCCTCGAGCCCCGAGCATTCCCAGTACAGCTGGTCGGCCCCAAAGTGTAGCACGCGAGGCGAGAGCAGTCGCTCTTGTAGAACCCACGATCGGCCATTCAACGGGCTCCGGGAGACGTTCTTCGTCCAATCCTCGTGGTCCACGCAGTAGAAGGACCTATTTTCACCACTTTTGGGTACCACAGAAATGGAGCAAGGGGATATCATGCGGGGATCTCGATCAGAAAAGAATCCACGGTTCCCATCCGCTGCCGCCGTGGCGGCGAGCGTGCAAAATGCATTTTGATAGATCTCGCCCATGTTTGCGGATTCCTGTCTCCAATCCTCGGCAGAATCTTGAATAATGCAGAGCGAGTCTATCCACAAATACCGCACCGCAAACTCATCCCAGAATCTCTTCGTCACCATAATGGCGTCCTGGAATGTGCGACAAAGTGCGGCAATTTCCACTCCCTCGAAGAGACTGGCCTCGGAGCTGGACGTAAGAATGACTCGCGGGCCCAGTCCCCAGCAATGGCTGAGTGCTAGGTATTCGATCGCATAGGCATCTCCGATGCTCTCAACGGTCCGAAGGCGGATAGTGTCTCCTTCACTGACTTCGATGAGCCTTTTCGGAAGCTGCCGCTGACGGACTTCCAATGACTTTGACGAACATTGACTATGTTTCGAGATACAGGTCCACATCCACGTTTTGAAAGTGTACCAGCTTTCTTGAGACTGGGTGGTGGACGCGATCCTTTCTCGTTGCGCTAGTGGTTCTGCCTCTAATTGCTAGTTAGTTTGCATTCTGAGAAGGTATGAGACACAAAGTGCAGTGTCGAATGAAGTAGAAAGGACGAAACATGATGACATGGCCAAGGCCGTCAAACACCGCTTTGCGACGAAGGTTGTTCTCAAAGAGCAAACTTCTCAATGACGGCTGAGAGAGATATACCTTCACTCCACAGTAACCTGAAGTGTCGCTTGAGAGGCTTCACGTGGTCGTGAGGGTTCGTGAGGCCTACTTGGTACTTGTACTCTACCAAGAGCTTCCCCGAACATGGGCGCGGGGAGAAGATGGCTCGATTAATGGTGAAGAAAGAAGGCAACCAGTGCGCGGGGCGATCGTCTCGCAGGATCTCGTTCCAGAAAGCATGGACTTTGGGCGGAGCGGCAGCCCAGAGCAACATGCAGAGGTGGCAGCCATCGGATGCGGACTTTTTCAATCTGGGAAGGCTGAGGTGGTTGGCCTTGTAGAAAGGCGACAAGGGGGTGGGTGAGGCTGAGCGCACTTCTCGCCTCGGCCGGCTGACCGCGAGATAATTACCCGAATTAATGTCAGCATTGTCGTCCTGCTCCTGGAAAGCGTTGGCGCAAGCACTGCACAGCATGCTGATAACGAGACACCCTGTGCAGTTTTGGTCATTGTAGAACGAAGAGCGTGGGAGCTGAAACAGCTTCGCTAGTTTCCACAGATATCATTGGAACTTGATGTTCTAGACCTGAAAAGGACTCTAGGTTCGCCAAGGGAGTTCCTAGCTCGGGATAGTATGGCCCAGACTTGGGCCTGGAACTGCGACTTTTGACAGGCATTTGTGAGGGAGATTTTAGAGGGTGGAGGGATTAGTGTCGACATTTTACCAACTCAGCGAGGATGTAAGGAAGAAGAGCTTACCCTTTATAAGTTAGGATATATCACGAGGGTGCTCTTTGAGGATGAGTAACTGGTGTATAATTATCTATTTCCCGAGTAGAGAATTGCTCTACTTTCGACCAAGTCCATCGACGTTACAAGGAAGAAAAAGGTAGCAAAGCAATCCACACTAACCCATCTGTCAACGGGATTTCAGTTGCAACTGATCCTCCAATCTCAAATACATTGCAGAGGGTACCGGAGAGTATCAATCCACCAACAATATTCAGACCGAGGCTTCCGATTTGATGTTGGACCACACTGTGCTTGAGTCTGTAAGAGCGACATGCCTGCAGTGTGTACCATCCAGCCCAGATCCATCGGACTTCAAAACGAGTCAGTCCCTGCTCTTGCGTGATGACTTCGCCAATGCGTAGAAGAGCTCGTCCACCGTGAACACTTGGCCCTTGTAGCGTAGACAGACTCGCAAATCTTAGTCGTCATGACAATGGTGCCGGTATCTGAATTGTGACGAGGAAGAGAACCGGGACTAGGTTCTGCTTCAGGGATGTCACAAGGCTTGTAACAGTCTAAGCATGTTGAGACGGCGAAGGACTTCATCAGCCTTTCAGAGACGAGCCATATCCGGTCATGTGCTGTGGCCAGGTCTTTGTTCAGATTCTTCCATGTCGCTCTTTTGTTTGGCTGCATGCTCAGCCGGCTGTCTCTGGTCTTGCCCACCTGCTTCGGGTCTTGCCAGGCCTTCGCATGCCACGTCCGTGGCGTCTTCCACGAACGAGCTAAGCTTTTCTCATGTGACTCGTTTGTTGGCTTCGTACTCTTCACGATCTCCCAAATCTTCTAGCCGCCTCCTCTTTCCGACTGACTTCTGTCAATTGGAACCTTTTCTTGTCTTCTTCCTTCCGCTCACAAAGCATTTTCATATCTTCTTGTGCTCTTCTCGCGTGTATTTGTTGATACTCCGCTTCTCTTTCTCGAATTAGCTTCCTGTCTTCTTCTGATCTTCGCTCGAGCCTATCCACTTCTTCCTCCTTAATTCTCGTGCATTCATCCTCGTCCTCCCTCTCCCGCCTACTCCTCGTCACCTCTTGCTTTTCTAGATATTCTGCGAGCAGACCTTCACGGAGCTTCAAACTGTCATCCTGTCTTCGTCGCTGCATAGACGTGTACATTATTTTAATAATCGTGATCTTCTTCTGGAGGAATAGGGGCTAGGCGATTCCACTGTTCGACAACTGATTCGAGACATTTTCTTTGTTCTTCTCGCTGGGACTAGTGGAGTGAACCGTCGACAGAGCTTTCCGGAGTTGGCGGAGCGTTATTCGCCTAGTTTTGTCAGTGACCAGGTGTGACTGCCCCTGGAAAGCTTCAGTTCTGACAGATTGAATATAGGGCCTAGTTTGGCAGTCTATTGCTGGCTTGGTCTCTCGATTTTTTGGTCATCGAGGAGCGCTGTCGGGCACTTCCTTATCATGCGACGCTCGCTTGATGGTTCTGCGTGAAGGAGTCATGGAGGAGAAACTTATTGAGGTCTTCCGAAGATATATAATACGGATATCTCGTTTTCGAAGGAATTATGCTTCTACTTCTCAAGTAACCGAGTTTGAATGTGCTGGTGAGGTCGAGGACTCGCGGAACGGGCCGTCAGGGTCAGTCAAAGAGGGGAACCAGCATCGTAATTATGCATCAAGTGAGGGATGGTGCACCTTTGAGGCATGATTGCCCGAGATGCTTTCTGCTGCAAAGCGAGGACCATATCCTGTAGCTTTTCCCGAAACACCGGGGTACCATTGGAACGTCCTGATAACTGCAAAAGTGTAAGAACTCATGAAGGTGCCAGGTAAGGGTCCCAGGCCCACTGCGATAGTTAAACGCAATAGGTAGACGATCAGGTGGGTAGACGACGCCAATTTCGCCCAGGTCGAGAGACAGGAGAACATCGATCGAATCTAAGCGGTGATACACTTGACCGGTGTCAGTAGTCGACGGTAGTTGTCGGGCTGAAAGATACACACATGTTAGTGGCCCACCATGCATTTCCGAAGACTTCTTCAGTGCGGTGGAAGCAGCACATTGGTCACTTGGCCATCAACATGGCGGCGCATCATCCCTCTGGCCTGCTGGATTATTAGCTTCATGGAATCTCCCAGCAAGGAGGTGTTGATCAATCCAATAGCAGTCTCGGAATCCGCGAGGGTGCTTTTCAATGACAGAGCGACCGGCGTAGTAGAAGCTAGCGCAATTCACTCATGAGGGACAGTTGGGCCTGTAGCTGTCACGAACCCACCGTTGTCCCCAAGTACTCTACGCCCTCCACCCGAATCGGGTGGACGGTATAGAAAGAAAAGGAAAGGATAAGGCAAAGGACGGTTGAGGCATAAGGCTATCGATTAACGCTGCCTTATCCTTTTCACGTGATAGAAAGAGGGGAAGCTATAAGAGTCTCCTCTCACCTAAATCGGCTAAGAGAGAACTCTTTCTTTTTCTTAAGCGTTAAGTCGTTGTTAATAGGGCTACGTAAATAGAACAAGGCATTTAGCTACTCTAATTCCTTTATATCTACTACGTTACGTAGGTCCCTAATAATTCTTAACGCTTACCTATTACGTAGTGGCACTATCGAGCTAGTAGTAGCTATATACGATTCTAGGGAGACTCCTAAAAATCATCCTTACTAGAGTAAGTTCCCACCTAAATTAGATGAGAATGAACCCCTTATCGCCCCGAGATAATAGGGCGCCCGAGGTCTCGTCGGGGACTATCGATGAAGACCCTACGACTACTGCGGGCCCTGTAGACCCGCGACACCTCATTTTCACGCCTACGGACGTGAGTGATCTCGAAGAAATAAATGATGAATAATTATAGGCCGAACTATCTAGGCTTAAAAGAGAAAGGACACGGCGAGAATAAATAGACTGAATCCATTACTTACGGAGAGGAGATACTCTTAGTGTGGAATAGAGATTAATGTAAGAGACTATAGTATATTCTCGAAGTCTCTCACCTAAATTGGGTGGGAATAATAAGCGACTAGCCATAGATAATTTAGCTAGCTACGCGAAAATCTTTAAGGCGAACCCCCCGAAGCATTTTAATGAGGGTAATTACTAGGCCTTAACCGAGTTTATTATGGGCATCGAGATATATTTCGAGTCCTATCACTAGGACCTAATAGATCCTAAGATAGCTAAGCGAACTATCTAAACGACGGTAACCTAGCTAGATAAAGAGCCTCGTTAGATATATTATAGACAACGCAACGTACCCGCTAGTTAGAAGGAATTTCTTACGTTTCTTCGAGGCACCATTAAAGACCCTTAAACTCGCACTTTTAAGGTCACTTATACTACTTAGTTTAGAAAGTAATGAAAAGAATAGAGTGTTCGTTAGTACTTATATAAACTAAAGTAAGTAGAGGCCGAGATAAAGACATTAAGGCTTACGGAAGTCGAGTAAAAGATATGGCGTTTTCTTTACGGTCTATAGCTCAATATTCGTAACGTAGTTATAGTAGAGCCATAGAAGGTACGTCTTAATAGAGATACTATTCTTACGGCCGCCTATCGCTATAAGATACGTTTCGCGAATGAGTAAAAGAGTAAGGCTAAGGAGAAGAATGCTTTAGAGAAAAGAAATGAGCTCCTAAAGTAAAAGACATCGATGGCTATAATAGGAAGTGAGAATAGAACTTCCCACCCGAATCGGAAGAGAAAAAACATATTTAGTTCGCTAAACGTGTCAGCTAAGCCCAAAGCTAAGTAGAGAGAAAAATCAACGTCCTCGTTTGTTCCTAAGTGCTATAATTGCTATAAGGAAGGGCATCTAGTACGGGATTGCCCTGAAAAGGGTACAAAAAAATAGATACCAATGTAGTAAACGTAGCTACCGCATTAGGGCACATTCAGTCTACGAGACACGGCGCATTAGAGCAACGCTGTGTGAGTATTTAAGTAATAGTTCGAGTAAAGGGCGAGAAGCATCGATTGCGGGCCCTTATGGACTATGGGGCATAGGACGACTTCATCTCATAGATAACTATTATTAGGCTTAGTTTAAAAGGCGTTCTACCAGATGTATTTAGAAAGGCTATGGATGGTCGGTAGATCACTATTTACGACCGTCATAGCCTCGAGGTTTAGATCATTGATGACCGGGGGAGGACTACTAAGGCTAGACTTAATTTATTATCTACGAATATCGAGGGATTCGATATAATACTCGGTATACGCTGGCTCGAAGCAATTAATCCCGATATTAATTTTAGAGATGGTACCTAGGTAGTGAGAGATCTAGACCGCTAAATCTAAATTAGTATAATTATAGTGTAAGAGCTTATTTAAGAGAAGAATAAAATCTACATCATATAATATTAATCTTTAGAGAAATCTTAAAGAGTTTCTTACTCGAATCGGGTGGGGTAGTATTTTACTCGCCTCCGAACTCTTATATTAAGTAAAGACGAAGGTATACCTTCTCTTTATACTAGCTATAGCGACGTAGTATTAGATTCGGGCGAGGCTTAAATTTTATTAGTGTCGAAGATAGAGTATATAATTAATCTTACGCTAAGTATAATAGCACTCTATGGGCCCATCTACCCTTTAAGTGATAGAGAACTCGAGGCTCTAAGGAAATATCTCGATAATATATTAATGAAAGAGTGAATTCGACGAAGTATCTCATCTACTAAGGCTCTCATTCTATTTATTCTAAAGAAAGACGGAGGACTTCGCCTCTATATGAACTATAGAGAGCTAAATAAGGTTACGATTAAGAACCGTTATTTATTGCCCTTAATATCTAAGATCCTTAATCGCCTAGTAGGAGTAAAACTCTTTATAAAGCTAGATCTACGAGATGCTTACCATAGAATCTTCATTAAGGTAGAGAACCAGTGGAAAATAGTATTCCGCACTAGATATGGGTAGTTCGAGTACTTAGTGATACCTTTTGGGCTGACGAATGCCTTAGCTACCTTCTAGGCATACGTAGACGAGTTCCTAAAGGGCTTACTAAACGTTTTCTACATTATATATATAGACGATATTCTAATCTTTAGTAGAATAGAGAAGGAATACGAGAATCATATTAAATAAGTGCTCGAAAGACTCCGGAAATCACGGCTTTTCATTAAATTCAGTAAATGTGAGTTCCATGTAAGAGAAGTAGTATTTCTAGGCTTCATCGTCAATGAGAAAGAAGTTTTAATAAATTCTTAGAGAGTAGTAGTCATCCGAGAATAGCCTACCCCCTAAATATTTAGAGATATTTAGATATTTCTAGAGTTTACTAATTTCTATAGAGGCTTCATCCGTAATTTCTTAAGAGTAGTGGCGCTAATTATAGACCTACTAAAGAGAATAAAGTATAGCGTAAAGAAGGGCCCTCTAGAATAAACTCTAAAAGTAGATAAGACTTTTTAAGAGCTTAAGAAGCGCTTTAAAAGAGCCTCTCTACTCTATTATTACGATCTAGACCTAGAGATAAAAGTAGAGATCGATGTCTCTAGTAGTAAACTAGAAGATATATTATTCTAGAAGATCACTATTCTCTTATCTAAAACGGATAAGAAATCTTTATTCGTTTGGAAATCTATAGTCTTCTACTTTCGTAAATATAAATCTAAGAAAATTCGATACTCTACGGATGATTAGGAAATACTAGCGATTATATACGCATTTAAGAAATAAAGGTATTACCTAGAAGCCCCCTCTAAGACAGTGACTATAGTCACTAACTATAAAGCGCTAACTTACTTTATGAATATAAAGGTGTTAGCTCGAAAGAGATAAACACGCTGGGTAAAAGACCTAGTAGTATTTAATTTTCGTATTAAATAGAGGGTAGGTAAGAAAAACCTCGCTGATGGCTTATTTAGAAGACTTAATTATGAGCGAGTAATTTTAAGTACTAATAAATAGAGCAATATACTATATAAACTTATAGCCCTACGCTTAGAGCCTCCACCCGAATCGGGTGGAGACGGTGAAGTACCGATATTAATTAGCGCTATTCGAATTACGGTATTAACGAGAGCGTAGTCGTTACGAAAACCGTATCTAAGGGATAGTGAATGGAACACTATTTTTAGCTTAATATCTTCTACTAACGAAGTAGAGCTAGAGTAGAAGAGCGATGAATTAAATAAACTCATCGAGGACGGTCGCCT